ACTTTTCTTATCATCCTCGTTACTAAGTTTATGGAACTCCTTTGCACATGTTGATTGTTTAATTTCTAAGGATATGTGAGGTCATTAATTTATTGTTTGAAATCTAAATAATTGGTAGATTATCTGTTTTTAGAACTTGGTGGTGTTTTTACTACACTTACTAAGTTTGTGGAACTACAATAATTTATTGTAATTATATGTGTTTTGCTCATATAGTCTTGTGGAGTCTCTATGCTTATTGGGTTCAATACACAAGATCTATATGGCTTGTTGCTTCCTCCTTCTAGTTTTATTTCTTCCTGGAAACTGTTGTCAATTTATGACAAAAGGGGGAGAGAATTAAAGGTCATATCATTCAGGGGGAGAGATGTTTTTGCATTGAGGAGGAGAGCACATGATCATTGCATTGACTTTTGGGCATTATTAGCTTTCATTGTTATTTTATGCTTATGCTTATCTTTTTTTATTAAGCTTTACGGGTAGTTTTTGAGCTGATGTGCAGTTTACAGAATTGAGATGCTACAAGTGCTGAAACTTAAAAAGTTCAAGAAGAGTTCCGTTTTATGTTTTTTTGACAATCATTGTAAATTTCTTTTTCCTGCTTGGGTAGATTACATGTTGTTTTTAGGGTATTGTCACGAAATTGCCAAAGGTGGAGATTGTGAAATATCAATTTGTATTTTGGCTATTTTCGTTGTCAAAACAAGTTCGATCGAGTTGTAGATTTTTGTTCGCTTTGTCAAGACTCAAGATTGGAAGCGAAATTGAAGAAGTGATCGAGCTTATGCTTTGATACACTTCGTGATGATGAGAATAATGCCTTAGTATGGTATAAGAGTGTGTGAGGACACTTGAGGAGTTCAAAATTAGGCTTTGAGAGAAGTTTTACATTCTGCTTAACTTGAACCGGTTCTGCGACACTTGAATCGGTTCAACTTTTTAAGGCTTTTCAAGATGTTCGAGTTTGGACAACTTGAACCGATTCAGCCCCACTTGAATTGGTTCAAGTTTCTTTGTCGATTTCTTGATTTGTCTTCTGGCCAATTTGAACTGGTTCAGCCTCACTTGAATCGGTTCAAGTCCTTCAGATCTTTTTGGTAACTTTGTTTCCTAGTTTGTTTTGATTCCTATTTTGGGTAGACTTCTTCTATATTGAGTGTGCACGAAGGTGGCTTGTTTTCCAAGTGTTTTTAGGTCTTCCAAAATTCTATATAATCTTTCCTTTACTCAAAATTTAGTTTGGCTTTTTGGAACAGAAATTCATTATTTTGAGAGAGCCTTTTTGATAGATATTCTTTAGAAAATCAAACCTGATTTTTCTGATTTTGTTTTGAGAGTACACACATAAACACAAGAGTGATTTAGGAGTTTTGTTTTCTATCTCATCGGAATTGGAGCTCAATTGAAGATTTAGAAATTTCAAGGAGCAAGATTTATCTAACTTTATATAAAATTCATATTTGAAGAAAAAGATTTTTCGATCACACTTTAAAGGGGTCAAAGTACTTGCGGAGTATTGTTGATCTACTAACAATACTTCTACAGGGTTTGAGGCATAAGTCTAAAGTTGAGAGCTGTTGGACGGGATATCGCAAAGTCAGGGACGTTCAGCAGATTGAGTCTTGGTAGAGTGAAGGAGTGTGAGCCTGAGTCAAAATTTGGTATACTTTACTTCATACACAGTGGATCGTTTTACGTTTGGAATAACATACAAAACCTCGAGGTTTTCCAATTGGTTTCCTTGTTAAAATTCTTGTGTCATCTTTCTACTTTACTTGCTTTACTTTTTAGTATTGATAGTTGTGATTGTGGAAGTTTAATTGATCATATTCGTGGGTAAATTAATCAATTACAAAAATTTGCAAGTAGACCTAATCACCCAATCTAAGTCATTTAGACAGCATAATAACTAACAACTTCTGCACTGTGTAACTCACATGCTGGACTTGTTAACATACTTGTGTGTGTAGAATGGGAAGGACAAAATTTTGGCATTTTCTTTCATAAAAGAATTAAACATTTAAAATGTTTTTTTCATCGTTTCAGTTTTGACATGTTTTATATTTTAATTAAACAATATAAATTGGCTTTCTTTGTGATGACGCATTTTTGGTTGCATTTCTTCTGGTAACTTTGGAGCAACCTTGATGCAAAAATATACCGGGTTAGTGCGTTATATTTTTCTTTCAAATATGATTGCTATAAAAGAAAGAAAGAAGGGCAGTAGTTGACAAAAGAAAGATAAGCAACATATGAGGAGAAAACATGAAAAATAGTCCGGTAGCCGATTATACAATCGTTTTATTCTTTAATTTCATCGAAATTTCATTCTCACAAAATTTATTCTCATGCGTTTCCATTGTCCAAACATTATGTGACAGATGTCATTTCACCACTCATGTCCTGTTCAAGCAGTGTTGGTGAAATATTGGGTTACTTTACTAAGGGCCTGTTTGCAACCATAATTGCATTATGCTTTTGATATTACGTAAAATAAATGCACTGTTTCTATTTTCTTTTGAAGTGTGTTCAATACTATTTGAAAATTTATTTGATAATATATATTTGTTGTAAGATTTGTGGAAGCAAAAACATGAAAACATATTTTGTAAAAAAATGATGTAATTTTGAAAAATTAAATAGCTAATTAAAAATATAATTTTTTTGAACAGTACTTTTGCTATAGTGCAGAAGTAAGTATCATTTTTTTGATCTAATTTTGATCTTTTTTTTGGAAATACTTTGGTACTATTTAAATTGCAATAAATGTTACCAAACAGGCTTTACACATTTACTTTGCTACGGGCAAAATAAAAAACACACAAAACATAAGCCCTTGCCCAACATACCAATGAGAGGGCCTACTGCAAAAAGTGAAATTCAAACAACTTTCACTCTAAGGTATGTAAAATTAAGAAAATAATTTTTAGGCATTAAACTGATTTGCTTTATCGACAACTTTTGGTTGATCACAAGGACGGACCCATGTGAGGCCCAGTGGGGGCAGAATTTTAAATTTTCTATTTTTTTATCTAAAAAATCTTAGATAATTATACAAAAGTCCCCATATATAACTTTATCCTTTGCCCCTCACTGGAATTTTAATTGTTTTTTATTTTTATCTAAAAAAATCTTAGATAATTATATAAAAGCCCCCATTACTTTATCCTTTGCCCCCACTCAAATACTAATTTTTTTTATTTTTACTTAAAAAATCTGGCATATTTTATAAATGCTCCCATAACTTTATCCTTCGGCCCCATTGAATTTATTTATTTATTTATTTTCACACTTATGCCCTCCTTATTGTTTAAAATCACCACACTCAAACAATTTTCTAGATCTCTCAGGGGTTGATCATGTATATAAAACATAAGAAAGTGAAATCGGTTGACGGATAACTTTTGATTGATCATGTATGAAAAATATAAGAAAATAGAGAATTTCCCTTCTTTATATTTTTACATACATGACTAATGAAAATTGTAAATCAAATAAGTCACTTTTAATAATCACAACCTTAAGAATTAAAGGTCGTGAATACTTTGATTTGACTCTTATGCTTCGTTCGGTAGGAAAGAAAAAAATTAAATGGAAAGGAGAGAAGAAAAGAATATTGAGACATCATAGGGAGGAGATTAAGCGTTTCTCTTTTTTTGTTCGGTTGGATAAAAGAGAATAGAAAAAACTGACAATTTTAATTTGATTGGTAGGATAAAAGGAAAGATAAATTTTTAAATTTTTTTAACTATTAAACTCATCATTTATTTTTATTTATGAAATTTATTAAATATTTATGAATCGTGATGCAGTGATTTAAAATTTCTATAATAGGCTTACTTGTTTCCGTCCTATTATGGGTGGGTGGATGAAAGGAGGAAGCATCCTTTCTCTTATCTTTTCTTTCCTTATATCATCTCTACCAAATTAAGAAAATTTGTTTCTTCCTTCTTTCCTATTTTTCTTCCACCCATCTTTTTTCTTTCTTACCTAACATAGCATTAATTTTGGCAAGGTGTTGGGACCATTGATTAGGGCATCTCCAATGGCCTCTCAAATGGGCACTCAAACTCAAAATATAGTAGGAGGATAAAAATAAGGCACTTCAATGGCCTCTTAAAAGACTTCTCATTTTTTAGATTCTTAAATGTATTCTCAAATATAGTAGCTCTCAAATGGCATCTCAAACTCAAAATATAGCAAGTGGATAAAAACAGACACTCCAATGGGTTCTCTCAAAAGACCCCTCATATTTTGAGATTGTCAAAAATTGGTAAAAGTAAAATAAAATTAAGGCACTCTAATAGACTTTCAAAACATAGAATGGTAGTGATGTCAAAAAATAACATTTTGAATGAAATACACCATTAAAACATAATTGTAAAAATATAACATTTTAACACTGTAATTTCTTTTATCTTAAAATATAAATTTGACATGAAAATATAACATTTTAGGTTGAAATTGCTCTTACTTGTTCCAAGGTGTCATTACCTTTTTCCCTTCTTTCCACACGACGCGTAATTTAAATTGAGTAGTATGACATTCGTTCAGGCATGAAAGATAATACTACGGAATAAGGGAGGCAGCGGGTCCTGCCTGAATGTATCTCATCAATGAAAGGCTAAAATAGTACTACTCAATTTAAATCAAGCGTCCTGTGGAATGAAGTGAAAAAGGAAATGACACCTTGCAACAAGTAATCGATGGTCCCAACACCCAGCCAGCCTTTTTCACTTAATTCAGGCAACGACTTGCATTCAAGTCTTTTCACAACAAAAAGGACTTCACTACAGAAGTTTGAAGGGATGCCCTCCACTAACTCTAAAAAAAAGGTTTCATGGAAAATTCCCAGCTACTTCTTTATGTGTACGGATATCCTCCAGAGAAAAGCAGAGAATATAGGAGGAATGAAAAAATATAATAAAACAAGGGAGAGATCTTTTGAAGTATCAGAAAAACACTGATTTGCGTTCACAAATTAGTAAAGCTGTTAATATATGGCTTCTTCTTCTTCTTGCTCTCAATGGATTTACGATGTCTTTTTGAGTTTTAGAAGTGAAGACACTCGTAAGAACTTTGTGGAACATCTCTATGTAGCTCTGCAACAGAAAGGAATTTACACTTTTAAAGATGACAAGAAACTCGAGAGAGGAAAATCGATTTCTCCGGAACTCCTTAAAGCTATTAAGAGATCGAGATTTGCAGTCATCGTTTTCTCAAAGAATTATGCTTCTTCCTCGTGGTGCTTGGAAGAATTGGTGGAGATCATTGAATGCAACAAGAACGGATAAACAGTTTTGCCGGTCTTCTACAACGTAGATCCTTCAGAAGTACGGAAACAAACAGGGAATTTCGCAGAAGCCTTTGCCAAACACGATGAAAGATTCTGCGAGAACAAGGAAAAGGTGCAAAGGTGGAGGGCAGCTTTGGTGGAGGCAGCAAATTTAAGCGGTTGGGATTTAAACAATATAGCAAATGGGTAAAAATATTACCTCAATTTATATTCTGTCATTTAGCTTTCAATAACCATAAAAGAAAAAAAAGAAAATCCATTTAGCTTTCCTTATTTTATTTAATTCTGTTTTTGTTTGTTATGGGAACATAGAACTTCATCATTAATATGGTCTTAAATTCTGCTGGTTTTTTATTTTATTTTTTGGGTTCAGTAAATACTCTCACCCACACTTTTGTCCACATCAATTCAAACCCCTTCCCTCCCCTCCACTTCGAAAATGGGGAGGGGGCTCGACTTTCTTTGTTTTCTCTTAAGAAAATTGCTGACCGGAGGTTGAGGTTCTTAGCCTTTTGTCCGAATATTTTAAAAAATAAAAAATTTAGACACATATTTTGACATGTCCGACACATATCGGGGCGCGTTGAATGCGGGTCGGTGTCCGACACGAATTCTTTGCCCTTTTATAGATGTGTCCATGCTTCCTAGCATATATATGATATAAGGCAATGATGATAAGGATGACAATAGAGCAAATCAACATTTTTAAGATGCATTAATCTAGTTCTAGCAGTTTGAATTTATGCTTTCTTGTTTTGGTAAACGACAATGTGATATTTGGTGTTTAGTATTATATGACAATTTATAAGTTATAGTTTTAAAAAAAGGTTCCATCATAGTTGTTTCAATTTTTATTTATCATTTTATACAATTTCATACCATCTTAATTAATGTGCTTTGTACTTGATAGGCATGAGGCGAAGTTTATCCAAGAAATTGTTCAAGAGATTTTTAAAAAATTGGGGTCGACTATACCACTAAGTGTTGCCAAGTACGAAGTGGGGTTAGTTTCCCGTGTGAATAAAGTGATTAGTTTGTTGGACAATAGTTCAAAGAATGTGCACATTGTAGGAATTTGTGGAGCTGGCGGAATAGGAAAAACAACCATTGCTAAAGCTGTTTACAATCAAATATTTGATCAATTTGAAAGTCGTTGTTTCCTTAGCAATGTGAAAGAAGAAGCTTCAAAACAACATGGTCTAACTTGTCTCCAAAAACAACTCTTGAATGACATCCTAATGGAAAAAGATTCCCAGATATCTAACGTTGACTATGGAATCTGTGTGATAAAGAGAAGACTTTGTTACATGAAGGTTCTTGTAGTTCTTGATGATGTGGATCACTTGAAGCAATTAGAAAGTTTAGCCGGAGGAAATGATTGGTTTGGTTTTGGAAGTATGATCATCATAACAACTAGAGATGAACGTTTATTAGTAGAACATAAAATTGATCATGAAATATACAAGGTTGACCTATTGAATGACAATGAGGCACTTGAGCTTTTTAGTTGGCACGCCTTCACAAAAAACCATCCTGTAGAGGATTTTTTGTCTCTCTCATGGAGTGTAATAAAGTATGCCCAAGGCCTTCCATTAGCTCTCCAAGTTTTGGGTACTTTTTTATTTAAGAAAAGCAGAAAAGAGTGGGAACATGAACTAGATAATTTGAAAAGAATTCCAAATAGAGAAATTCATCAAGTTCTTAAGATAAGTTTTGATGGCCTCAATGATATAGAGAAGGATCTATTCCTCGACATTGCTTGTTTCTTTAGAGGGTGTGATACAGATTATGTAATGGACATACTAGGCAGTTAGTGGGTTTCACCCACGTATTTCAATTCTTATTGAACGGACTTGGTAATCTCAAACTGCAGCACCCTTTGGATGCATGATTTGATACAAGAGATGGGTAAGGAAATTGTTCGTCAAGAATCAGTTGACGATCCTGGCAAACGTAGTAGGTTGTGGTTTCATGAAGATATCTATAAAGTATTCAAAGAAAATACGGTATGATCTAACTACATATAAGTTTCTTTCCACACATGCAAGTTGTGCAAAACAAGAGAATTTGTTATATATTTTTTCAATGAAGCAATAGTGTACACTTGCATACTTTAATTAGTTTTTACAGTACTAGTTTTAACGGTATGTCGAAACTTAACAAAATGTTCTTGGTTATTAGGCAACAGAATCAATTAAAGGCATTGTGCTAAACATGCCTGATGGCCATCTGTTAGAGGAGTTATGTGTTCATGTTGATGCCTTTGAGAAGATGAAGAAACTTAAGCTGCTCAAGCTCAATGGCATACGACCTTGTGAACGTCTTACATATCTTTCACATGAGCTGTGTTATCTTGATTGGGACGGTTACCCGGCAAGATTTTTTCCATCCAATTTCTATCCAAAAAATCTTGTTCACCTTCGGCTTCATCATAGTCAAATTAAACAAATATCAATGGGTATCAAGGTATGATCACAATTTATTAGCAGAATTTATACATGTATATAGTATTCTTGGTTTATTGATTAAACTAATTATTTCTTTCATTGCTGGTTTGCCTAGCAGTTTCTAGAGAAGTTGAAATTCCTTGATCTCAGTCACTCCCTATATTTGGACAAAACTCCTGATTTGTCTTGTCTCCCATGTCTCGAGGATTTAAATCTTGAAGGATGTTCAAATCTAATTGAGGTTCACTTGTCAAATGGAGTTCATGAGAGACTTGTTAGATGCAATCTCTCTAAATGTAAGAATCTGAGGATTCTCCCAAGAAGCATTAATTTGAAAAATCTGCAATTTTTCACTCTAGCAGGATGCTCAAAACTTGAGAAGTTTTCAGAGATTCAAGGAAATATGGTTTGTTTAGAGGAGCTTCATTTAGACAACACTGCGATAAAAGATTTGCCTTCATCAATTGAGCATCTTGAAGGGCTTAGACGTTTATCTCTAGAAGGGTGCCAAAAGCTTAAAAGTGTTCTAACCAACATTTTTTCTAAAATGAAGGATTTAGAATACCTTGATATGGGGAGGACTGCTATTAAAAAGCTACCATCATCCATTGCACAGTTGAGTAATCTTGAGGAACTGTATGTCAGTGGCAATGATTTTCAGTCACCATCTTCGAAGATGCCAATTTCATTGATGCAAAATACATTTCTGCGAAAGAGAACTGGTAATTCGTCTTGTTTAGAATTGGAACTGCTCTCTGGATTGTGCACTGTAACTCGTTTAAGTCTTCGGCACTGCAATCTATCAGAAGAATCATTTCCCAAAGATATTGGCAAGCTATCCTCAATGCGTTATTTAATTCTAAGTGAAAACAAATTTGCTAGCATACCAGAATGTTTCATTCAATTGACAAGCCTTATGTACCTTTATTTGGAACATTGTACAAGCCTCCGTTCATTGACATCACTTCCATCATTTATATGTTATGTGAATGCGCATGGTTGCAAATCATTGGAACGTTATCAATTCCCTCCAAGTGTAGAAAATTCAGACGATCGGGAATTCATATTCACAGAGTGCCACAAATTGGATGTGGATCAGAGGGACAACATGCCAAATATATCATCGCAAAGTCAGCTTCAGGTTCCTTCTCTGTCTTTCTCTCTATATATAGAAATATATGTATTGTGTGTGTATGTGTGTGTGCATTCTTTTTTAAAACGCAGCTTCACCATCTGTATGAAACAGGAACTTGGTGTAATTATTCTTCCAGGAAGAGAGATTCCACATTGTTTCAGTCATAGGAATGAGGGCTCTTCATTCTCTTTGCGGGTGGATTTACCTTCTTACGAAAATGTTAAAGGAATTGTCGTCTGTGCTGCTTTGGAAATATTTCATGGAATTGATATCCCACAAATTAATTTTGATCTCAAAATCAATGGTTATTCCATGAGCGAATGGTTCACGTACAATGACTTAACAGCAGGAGATAATGCACCACATCACATCTTTTTGAAACACAAAACGGAATATTATGATGAGCACTCTAGAGAGATTCGGCCAATTAAAAGTTTGATGGACAACAAATCTACACTCAGCACAGGCACTTCCAATACTTGTGATGGCTGTCACATTCAGGCTTCAGTTACATTGAACTCCACACTACTCAAGCCATCCAGCAATCGAAAAGCAAAGGTCCATAAATTAGGTATTCATCTAGTAATGGAGGAGCAAGCTTAGACATCAAAGCAAGGTGAGTAGACCAAGTGATATACGCAAGCCTCAGTATGATAGTTTTTTATTTTTTTCGAAAATTAAGCCTTAGTATGATAGTTGTTTTTTTCTCTCTTCAAACTTAATTTTCCTAAATTCATCATGCAAATTAATTACTCAATCATTAATATAATCTTGAATTATCCATTATGCGCAAAATAGACAGATTTAAAGCAGGATCCCACCTTTCTCTTGTTAATGTGTTATTCTTCTTCTTATTTTGTTGAATTTATAATGGAGTTGTGGTACTCTTAATCAAAATAGCTATGAAAATTTATAAGAAATTTATGTAGAATAAGAAGTATAAAAAAGAAAAGGAAATTTGAATAAAATTATTTTGCTTCTGGCATCTTATTCATCTATATGGCCAAACTCTTATAATCGACAATGTGTTTGATTATTGCAATTTTGTAGGCTAATGGCATCATCTTATCAAGGAATTTTAGTTACTCATCTGGCCATGTTAGGAGTGGTGAGGATGCTTATTGTGATTGTGGAGCAGCAGCATCCTTTTAAGATGGTACTTTTGTTTTCAATTTTTTTTTTTTTTTTTTGCAATGAGAATGGTCTTTGGACTTTGGGGCTATTTTGTGTATGAAGAATTATGTGTGGTGTTATTTTGATACTCGATCTTTTGTATATGTGAAAAAATTAAACTCCATATTAATGTATTATTTTAGGGATGGAGTCATTGACAGACGATTCTAGAGGACCTGATAAAACATAAAAGGTTGTGAACGTACCAAGAAGATATGAAGCTTATTGATGGTCTTTTTGATTTACAGATCAAGACTCGAAATGCTTGTCAAAGTAGGTAAGGTTCTATTAATACAAGAATTTTTATTTTTATTTTTTTTTATTTTTATTTTTTTTCTAGTGGTAACATTCTAGACTAATTTTAATGTACTCTAGAAGCATAGTACAACAATATGTTCTACCTGTACAGCAGCTTACTGAGTTACTCAACAAAATTTAGTTTCAAACAAAAGTACTAAAAGTTGTTCTACCAGATGAATAGCAATTTGGAATTTGGTTCGTTAGTCCAGCTAGCCTATTCAACCTGTACAAAGAAAAGAACATGTTGAATAGAGTTCCGAGTTTGTTCATTTCATTCCTTGTGTTTATGGATTTGTTGGTTTCTTTCCAAGAGTTTTCGAGGTGGATTCTTTTCTTTGTGGAGTCATTTCCAAATTTGGCACATGGGCCCAAGGGGGCGCGAATCACCTGCTGTGCGATTCCTATGCTGTTTCTTACAGTGAGCGGTAAGTGGCCTTGGTTTGGCCACGTTTTATTCCACTTAACAGACACTAAGAGTGTGTTTGGCAATTGCACCAAGTAACATTTCACCACCATTTATAAGTAACATCACAGAAGTCAAAAAGTAATATCACATAGTCTAAAAAGTAACATCACCATCATATTAAGTAGTGATATTACCCTGTTACAAATGGTGATATTACTTTTTAGACTGTGTGATGTTATTTATAAATGGCGGTGAAATGTTACTTATACGTGGTGGTGTTATTTGAAATTAAAAGTGGTGATATTTCCTTTTATAAATGGTGATGTTACTTTTTAAATTTTGTGATGTTAGTTGTAAATGGTGGTGAAATGCTGTGGTGTAATTGGCCAAACACGGCCTTAGTGTTCGTTAGCTGAAGAATGATGTGGCCAAATATGGATCACTTAAAAATTACAGCAGGAAACCGCATAGGAACCTCATTGCAGGTGATTCGCGCCCGGCCCAAGGTGGGGCTTGTGGGCTCGGACTAGCTGAGTTTTCGGAATTTGATGGGAGGGACCTAAACATCATGTGCGTGGTGGAACGGGGTCATTGTGTTATTTCCTTGAAATGGCTTGGGGCTTATATGATTTTAGCTAGTGGAGGGGTTATTTTCTGAATGGTCAAAGTGGGTGACTATATAACGAAAGCTAAGATTTATTTATGGCCACAATTTCCTTTCTCTTTCTCACTGTGCATACGATTTTCAACCCCCCCCTGATTTGATCTCTTTAGAGAGATTTTGAGGAAGTTTCAAGAGAGAAGTTTGCTCTCTTCGACCTTCTCTATGCATTGATCGGTCTCGTTTTTCGTTTTCACAATGCCCTAAGTGACCTTTAGGTGCGATGTTAGATATATGTGTTTGTATAGGAATTAAAATGCTACTAGATGGGTCTCTTGTTCTAAGTAAGCTTGCAATATGATTTGTGTTGGATCATAGGTGTTAAAGGCCTAAAATTTCTATTTCACAAATATTCCAAGTTGGCATCCACTGTAATTACAACAGTGGATTTTTAGTTTCATAAGTTGTGCGGGTCCATCTATGACCTCTTTGAACTGAAAGAAATGTCCCAAATAACTCGTGGAACACACGGCACACCTCCACGGTGCCCGGCATGCAAAATGAAATGAGAAAATAAAATAATGTCAATGGAACTGTCCTTTCTGTTGTTTTGGAAGGACGCTATGGAACGAAATGATGTATCGAATTTAACCTTACACTCAATGGTTGCCCCATGACCATGTTTAATGAAATCGACGTTATTGTAAAAGATATTGTGTCAGATCACGTCATTTTTATTCACAAAACGGGAT